CTTTAAGGAATACATAACGGCGACGCTAGCAACTTTGTTACTTAGGTTGGAATAAATTGAGACCCCCCCTAAATGAAAAAAAAATCACTGCCCAGGTCCCGAACGAGGTTGCATGCTGGGTGCTCCGTTGGTGAGGGGCGGCCCGCGAGAAAGAAATGGCAGGCAATAGCAGTGCTTGCTCCCACGACGCGACCCGGACCTACTTCATCCGCTTGCGCGGTTTGGTAGACGTGCATCAGGTACATGGCCACTATCTCTGGCCTGATGTCATAAATGTCGCTCGCCCGAATGTGTAGTAGCTCTGCCCAATCTAGGAACTCCTGCCATGGCTCCTTGTACTGGGCGACTGTGCTGCTAGCTCGCGCCTTGTGCGCCTGGCTTGCCAACGCCAGAGCTAGATCCCCGATCATTGGGTTAGCGTCCAAGGGCACCTGGCCAACCAGTGTCTGCGCGCGTGCCCTTATTCCTGTGAAAACCGGGGGGCATAAGGGTCGGGGGGCACAGCGATCCGGTGCGGGGAAGGTGTTTGGAAATCGATGAGAAGTGCGAGCGATAGCCAGTTAGCGGACCCTTTTGGGACCTCGTTTCCCGAAGACCCTGGCAGGAAAAGATCATACGCCTTGCCCAGCTCTCTTAGGCCGTGGACGCAAGGCGCAAACCACTTCCTGTCTTGAGTCAGATAGGACCACCAGTCGCGCGTCGGCCAGAGGGGAACGATCAGACAGATGCGTGCTTTGCACAGCTCTGCGTGCCGCAGGACCTTAAGTAGCAAACAGAAAGGCGGGTTCGCCCAGCAATTCAGCCCCCAGTGGAACCGAAAGGCATCTACACCCACGGTATCTGGCGTGAAAAATCGGGAATAGTATTGTGGCAGCTGGTGATTGGTGTGTGACGCGAAAAGATCAATGTCAAAAGGACCCCAGGCGGTGTTGAGCCTCTGAAATTCCTTACGGTTCACCATCCAGTCGTCCCGGTCCTGCAGCTTTGAAAGGTAGTCCGCCAGAGTGTTTTCTTCTCGCAGCCGCCACTCCGCCTGCAGTGTGATACCCTCGGCAATACAGTACCAAAAGATTTTGCAGGCAATCCGGTACGAGTCCTCGGCTTTTGTGGACCCTTTGTTGAGGACGTTGGCGCAATTGAGATTGTCAGTAATCACCCGGACGACTGGTGTCGTAGGCCTGCAGGACCGTTGAAGGATTGAAGTGCGTGTAGGACTGCCTGGAGCTCCTGGGGTGTTGACCCCATCGAACTGACCCTTACTCCCCAATTACCGCGGGCTTGGGCCAACTTCCCGTCGATCAGCGTCCAGGCACCCCAACCCCCGAGTTGCTTGGGGGATTTCCCGGCTGCATCGCAGAAAACGACCGAGTGCACCTGTGTGGGCTCCCAGAGGGCACGGGTTCCGTTAAACCGGTCGAAACAGCACAGCCAGAATTCGAGCTCTGCAGTTGCGTCGTTAGCTAAGCGGATGTGGGTATCCCAGGTGTGGCGCGACTCAATATCCTGCCCCAGAGCCTGGGTGTAAAGGCGGGCTACTTGCCCGAACGCCCAGGACATGGACAGAAGCTGCCCTTTTATGGAGACACAATTGTCTCGCCTTGATGCGCCGTTTTCCCAGAGCCGAGCGGATGCAGTCGAGCAGGAAAGTGCGCTTATCTTCAGGCACAATGTACACGCCCTTAGCTGTATCTAACAGCATACCCAGGTACCTCACTTGCTGCTGGGGCTCGCCCATCATTGACTTGTCACGGTTCACGCAGAACCCCAGGCGCTCAAGGAGGTCGAGGATTATGGTGCGGCGGGCGATGAGGGTCTGGGTGTCCTGGTGGGCGTGGATCTGATCATCAATGTATCCTGAGCACTGCCAGCCCTTCCGTCTCCAAGTCCGCATGATCTCGCGTGTTAGCTTGGTGAATGCCCAACAGGTGGAGGCAAGGCCGAAAGGGAGTTGTGTAAAGATGTAGAACTGGCCTTGCCATTCAAAACCAAGGTAGCGCCAGTCTGCTTCGTGTACGTCCATATGGTGGTAGCCAGACTTCAGGTCCAGGGTGAACATGTAGTCCTTGGGGCCTAGCCAGCCTGGGACCTGCGCAAGCGACTCATAACGGAACTCCGGGATGTGCAGGTGCTTATTGACTTCGTGTCCATCCCAGATGAGGCGGAGCTTGCCTTTCTGCTCTACGACGCCCAAGGGACAGGTCATGAAAGGGCGGGACTGGCAAGGTTTGATGGTCTCTGACTCCAGCAAACCCTCGATGGCAGAAGACACAAAATCCCCGTGGTCCCGTGCAGATTGGTGATTCTTACCCCAGTACGGCCGGGGGGGAGGTCCTGAGTGCCACATCAGAGGGAACCCTTGCAGGACCCAGCTCAGCACGAGCTGGTTCACCACTGTCGCCTTCCAGACCGCGGCACAGGCTATCAAGCGCCCCCGCATCTTAGGCCTATCCTTGCTACCCGTGCTAGGAGGTGTGGCTCCACAAGGCGGATCAACAGGCAAAGGTGCTGGGTTCTCACCTTCTGGGACCGCTTGTTCATTCCTTGAAGGGGCTCCTGGGTCTGGATGTGGTTCCTGGGCTTGGCGGGCGACCTTGGTCCGGGGCCGGGTGGGCTCTGAAGGGCCGGGTGCAGGACGCTTGGCGGTGTTCTTGGTCTCTGCTTGTGTGTTGTCTCGTTGGGCAGGGGGGGGCTGCGCGGGGTGAGGGGCTCTAAAACCCGTGGCGACGAGCAGTGCGCCCAGTACTGTGGCGGCCAAATTCTCAGCATTGCAAAAGACTAAAGATAAAAAATGGTCTGGTCTGGGTTGACACTACTGCGATTCGCGGTTTAAGGTCCTGGGTTCGATTCCTGGGGAGACCCCCGAAATAGTCGGGAGCGCGAGATTATGGCTAGCTGCTGAGATGAGGAGTTGAGGTCACAGTTGATGGACCAGATTTGCACGCTGGATTGGTGGTGATTGCCGAACCCTCCGTCTCTTCCTGGATGACGCTGGACCCGCCGCCTTGGACTTACAGTTCGTATGGCGAAGTATAGTGTGGTAGTGGTGGATGGTGCTATAAGATGATAAATCGTAGAACTAGCGGCCCAGAAGCCTCCCACTCTGTAACATTACAAAAAGAGGGGGAGATGAGTGGAGGCCGGGGCTCATGGCGACTGAGGCTACGAAACGGTGGGAAGCCGCCCCTCCTGGGATGACAGAAACCGAACGGGCTACTCAGGGGCGACCTGCACCGCAGGGGACGGGGCCACCAGAGCCATCAACCTGTTCGATGCCTCTCTGTCGTTGTTGGGTACATGCATGAAGAGGGAACTCGGACGGAGGAAGGACAGGTCCAGCCTGAAGCCGGCCACCTGGGCCTGGAAGCCGCCATGGTCAACAGGACCGAGCCAACACGGCAATAAGGCCCCAAGGCCAATCACGGGCGCCACCAAGGGCAAGAGCTCGCGCGCGTTAAAAAGAAACCTCCCTCCAGGGTACAACTTGGTCCGACGTCTTCTAGTGGTGGAAGGTCTGGAAGAGACCGGATGTGCAACTTAGCATAACAAGTCTTGTCAAAGACTGGGCCAAAGCATACTCCGTTCCAACCCAATAATGTTTGTCGGACTTGTGGGCCCCTGCAACAACAACGACCGCGAACTGCACGGAGGGGCCACTGAGCGAGCTTAAGAAAAAAAAGGAGGGGGGTAGGATCGGTGCAGTGCCAGAGTCGAGCAAACACAAGGCCCAACAGAATCCTAATCAGCCATGCTTAGCCGGGCTGCGAGAGCGGCTTCGGTCACGGTGGCTGCGCCGGTCGTAGCGGTCATAGTGGCTGCAGTCGTTCCGGTGCACACTACCAAACGAATCCCGCACTCCACCCTGCCGGTCTCTCCCTCGCCAGAGGGACCCGGCCTGACTTTCCCTGTCTGCCGCCACCGACTTGCGCGTTTTAGCTAATGCACTCTCTATGTCGCCCTAATCTATGGCCTCTGGTTTGAACTCTGGCTTGGTGAAGTTGCACCGCCTGCCGTGCCAGATTTCGTAGGGGGCCGTGAAAATACCGTTGGCTCCTGGGCCCGCCTTGGCCAGAGCAACGGAGTAGCACTTAAGGCGGCGGTGAGCGATCTTGAGGCATTCTCCCGCGACGGCAAGCTGGGGTTCGTTCGCATCCAGCGTGGTGATGGCGGTCTCTAGCAGCATTAGTGTTCCCTCGTCGAGCTGCTCCTGCTGCTCGTGTGGGGCTGTCAGCTTCGGGGCGTCGTTCGCTTGAACTTCAGTCCTTATTGCTGCGAGCTGCTCTCTTGCAGATGGCCGGATGGTCACGTCTTTTGTGATGACTACATCTGGAGAGCAGTCCCGAGGCGGTGCTGTCCGGGGATCTCTGGCTGGCGCTTTTGGGGCGTTGGCCTGCGCTGCTGACAGGACGCCCAGCAGCAGCTGGTGAAGAGTCGGCTGGTCTATATTCCCGCTCAAAGTATCCCTGGCGGCTTCTAGGTCGTTTTGGTTGGCTGGCAGCATCTGGCCCGATCCCCCTTCACCGGCTGCTTCGGCCGCTCCTGCGTTGACCAGGTTATCTCCCGTTGCCTTTGTCTTCTTACCCGTCATTTTTTGATTTTTGTGACGGAGCTCCTGGTTGTTCCTTGGAGAGTGACGGTCCGTGGCGATGTCGATTCATTGTGGTAGAGCGTCGATGAGGCTTGAGGGTAGTCGGTAAGGTCTTGGAAAAAAAAGTGAGAGCAACAATAATAAGCTCCAATAGTGTAGGCAGAATGCCGGAACTATGGAGCTGTCAGCTGAAATAGTAAATTCGAATTCTCAGCAAGCCATACGGCTGCCGTACATAACCTAGCTTAGAGGCTATACTCGCTTTGCTCCTGCCGCATCTAAGCTACAATTTTAGCTCCCTAGCTGCACCCCTGACCCTACCAACTCATAGGGGGTCTAACAGCGGCTAACAGGCATGCCTGTTAGGAAATGTTACCCTAACAGATTCTCTAACAGTGATGGGGCTGTCAGACGATGTTTGGGCTGGCGGCGGGTGGATCTGGCTGTTAACAACCATGTTGGAGAAGTAGAACAGGAATTGGTGCTGTTAGCCGTTGTTAAGGCTTGTCAGATGTTTTCAGACTGTATTTTAGCTCTGTCTCACGGAGTTGATGGATAACCTCGTTTAGAACAAACATTCTTGAACGGTTTGTAACGAAATGTCCTGCCTTTTGCCTATTATTTGGCAAACCACACGTTTCAAGCAACATCATCAATCATGCATATTACCTCGCTTATTAGCAAGGCACTAATTGACTGGATGAAAATCCAGGCTGCTGTTCCAAAAGCACTACTGCTGCAGTGAATTTAGGCATGAAATTTCATAAACGAATGGCACTACTTACATGGTGTAAGGTATCCTTGTGCTTCACAGTTTAGCATACGAAGCACTACTGCTTTTGAAAAGCAGTTCAACGCCAATATCTACTTACAGCCACCAGCAGGCCCACAAGGCTGAATGATCTGCATCCTGTCTCTCGTGACTGCAACACAACGTGCTGCACCTAAAGTAGGCCCTGAGCTTAAGATAGAAGAAAAGATGTCAATGTTCAGATTCAAGATCCTCCCTTCATATCCAGTGACCTGCTCCACCACATACAACCCGACGTTTTGCATGCAAACCCCACCTTCATGCCTGCTGCATACACAACCAAGCAACTGCTGGCCTATGAGTCCACAACATTGTAGCCTCCCTTGCCATTTCCTGCTCTCCTCAGCCAACCCTTGCCCCCCTTGACCTCTCTTGCTCTCCTCTGCCATCCCTTGCGTTGGTTTTTTATTTTGCTGAACCTTTAGACTCCTCTGTTCTCCTCTGCCATACCTTGCCCTCCCTTGGCCTCTCATGCCCTCCTCTGCCGCCCCTTGCTCTCCACTTCCCTCCTCTGCCGTCTCTTGCTCTCCTCTTTCTTCCTCTGCCCTCCCTTGCCATCCCTCGCCCTCCCTTGCCCTCCCTTGCATTCCCTTGCCGTCCCTTGCCCTCCCTTGCCCTCCCTTGCCCTCCCTTGCCCTCCCTTGCCCTCCCTTGCCCTCCCTTGCCCTCCCTTGCCCTCCCTTGCCCTCCCTTGCTATCCTCTCCCCTCCTCTGCCCTCCCTTGCCCTCTCCTGCCCTCCCCTGCCCTCCTGTTCCCTCCCTTGCTCTCCTCTGCCCTACTCTGCCCACCCTTACCCTCCCTTGCCCTCTCCTGTCCTCCTCTGCCATCCTTTCCTATCCTCTGCCCTCCTCTGCCATACCTTGCCCTCTCTTGCCCTCCCCTGCCCTCCTGTTCCCTCCCTTGCCCTCCCCTGCCCTCTCTGCCATCCCTTGCTCTCCTCTGCCCTCCCTTGCATTTCCTTGCCCTCCCTTGCCCTCCCTTGCCCTACGCTGGCCTTACTTGCCCTCCCCTGCCCTCTTTGCCATCCCTTGCTCTCCCTTGCCCTGTCCTGGCATCCCTTGCTCTCTCTTGTCCTCTCCTGCTCTCCTCTGCCATCCCTTGCTCTCCTCTGCCATCCTCTGCCCTTCCTTGCCCTCCCCTGCCATCTCTGCCGTCCCTTGCTCTCCTCTGCACTCCTCTGCCCTCCCTTGCATTTCCTTCCCTCTCCTGGTCTCCTCTGCCGTCTCCTGCCCTCCTCTGCCATCATTTGCTCTCCTATGTCCTCCTCTGACCTCCCTTGCCCTTTCCTGCCCTTTCTGCCGTTCCTTGCTCTCCTCTGCCCTCCTCTGCCCTTCCTTGCCCTCTCCTGCTATCCTCTGCCGACCCTTGTTCTCTTCTTTCCCCGTCTGCCCTCCCTTGCCCTTCCCTCCTCTCCTCTGCTCTACCCTGTCCTCTACTGCCATCTCTTGCCCTCCCTTCCCCTATCCGGGTATCCTCTGCCGTGCCTTGCTCTCCCTTGCTCTCTCCTGCCATTCCTTGCTCTCCCTTGCCGTCCCTTGCTCTCTCTTGCCCTCTCTTGCCCTCCTCTGCCCTCCCTTGCATTCCCTTCCCTCCCTTGCCCTACTCTGCCCACCCTTGCCCTCCCTTTCCCTCCCCTGCTCTCCTCTGCCCTCCCTTGCCCTCTCCTGCCCTCTCTGCCGTCCCTTGCTCTCCTCTGCCCTCCCTGTACAACGCTAGTGGGAATGTTGCCTACGATGGACATAGAATTGGGGCCTGGCAGGGCAGTGTCTTGGCGTGGGGTCATGTGGTGTAGCATGGAGATTTGTGAGGCTGGGCTGTGTATGGTAACACCAACCCCGTGAACAGTGGTAAGCATACCATATCTATCATATCACGTTACATGTACGTGTTGCATAGCAGTTCAATGAACTGCACCCTCTGGGTGCAATGGTAGCCGCGCCGCACATCCGCCTGTTCACCGTCACGCCCTCTGGGCGCGATGGTAGCCGCACCGCACATCCGCCTGTTCACCGTCGCGCCCTCTGGGTGCGATGGTAGCCGCGCCACACATCCGCCTGTTCACCGTCGCGCCCTATGGGTGCGATGGTAGCCACGCCGCACATCTGCCTGTTCACCGTCGCGCCCTCTGGGCGCGATGGTAGCCACACCGCACATCCGCCTGTTCACCGTCGCACCCTCTGGGCGCGATGGTAGCCGTGCTGCACATCCGCCTGTTCACCGTCGCACCCTATGGATGCAATGGTAGCCGCGCCGCACATCCGCCTGTTCACCGTCGCACCCTATGGGTGCGATGAAATCCGCGCCACACATCCGCCTGTTCACCATCGCACCCTATGGGTGCGATGGTAGCCGCGCCGCACATCCGCCTGTTCACCGTCGCACCCTATGGGTGCAATGGTAGCCGCGCCGCACATCCGCCTGTTCACCGTCGCACCCTATGGGTGCGATGGAATCCGCGCCGCACATCCGCCTGTTCACCGTCGCGCCCTATGGGTGCGATGGTAGCCGCACCGCACATCCGCCTGTTCACCATCGCACCCTATGGGTGTGATGGTAGCCGCACCGCACATCCGCCTGTTCACCGTCGCATGACCCATCTCTTCAGTGCGAAAAGATTACCAGATGAATGGCCTGAACAAGCCATACGAGCCTTTGAAACGCTCAAAGCTCGACTATCGAACGCCGTTTTGTTGAATTACCCGGATTTTATGAAGCCTTTCGATGTGATCTCAGATGCTTCGCTGAACAGAACTGGCGCAGTACTCCTGCAAAATGACCGACCGGTCGCCTTTACCAGTAAGAAATTTTCCCCTGCTGAACGGAACTACAGTACGGGTGAACAGGAGCTACTTGGGGTAATCAACGCCTTGTGAGAATGGCGATGCCATTTACAGAGTTCCATTCCTTTTAATCTTGTCACCGACCACCATCCACTGATCTTTCTTAAGACTCAGTCGACTGTAAGCCGCAGACAAGCCCGTTGGCTTGAGTTCCTGGCTCAATTTAATTTTGAGTGGATTTACCGCCCAGGATGATTGAACGTGGTCGCCGACGCTTTGTCACGCCATCCCTCCTTGGCATCTGTCGTGGTATTCAATGTGGTTACCACACGTCGCTCTCAGGGACTTACACTGGACCCACTCATCCACCGTATTGCCGATGCTACAAAACGAGACGCTCATTTCCAGAACCCAGATCATACTCGTTTCTTTCTGACGAATCCTCTCGGATTCTTTCAGATAGAAAGGGGGGAGTGCGAGTACCGCATCGTGGTGCCCAATGACCCCGCCTTGAAACGAGAGATTATTGAACGAAGCCACACGAATATCTTATCCGGACACCCTGGACGAGATCGAACCATTGATTTGGTTGAACAGAATTTCTGGTGGCCTACGTTGAAAGCTGACGTTGCAGACTTTGTCGCATGTTGCGATCTTTGTCAACGGAATAAAGCTTCATCAGGCAAACCGCTGGGTCTATCTCGACCTCTGCCGATTCCTGAACGACCTTGGAGCAGTGTCTCAATGGACTTTGTACTCGGATTGCCCTCGACTAGAAAAGGTTACAACTCCCTTGTGGTGTTTGTGGACCGACTGACTAAGATGGTGCATGTACGACCATGCAAGAAAGAAATAGACGCAGAAGAAACTGCAGATTTATTCTTTGACACTGTGGTACGGCTTCACGGTTTACCAGACACCATCATCTCAGATCATGACACCAAGTTTACTGGTGCCTTCTGGACCTCTCTCATGAAGAGGCTAGAGGTGAAGCAGGCGATGAGTACTGCTTTCCATCCTCAGACTGATGGTCAGACAGAACGAATTAATCGCGTCCTTGGAGACATGTTGAGAAACTACTGTGATCAAGAACCTTCACGGTGGGAGACATACCTTGGACCCGCTGAATTTGCGATTAATAATTCGAAGAATCGTTCGACAGGAGTTAGTCCATTCTTCCTGAACTATGGCTATCATCCTAAGACCCCTGTACAATTCGAACTCGGTGATGCAGTTCCCGTTGCTAAGGGTTATGTCGATACATATGCCAAGAGACTTGCTGCTGCTAAATCTGCTTTGATGGCTGCGCAAGATCGAATGACTAAGCAAGAGAATAAAGGTCGACGTGATGTGTCGTTTACTGAAGGACAACAAGTCTTACTCAGTACGAAGAATTTGACCCTCCAGAAAGGTTCAACCTTTCTGTGAAGTCCAAAGAAGCTGATGCCTAGATGGATTGGACCTTTCCCGATTGAAAAGATGATCAATCCTGCTGCTGCTAGATTGACCCTTCCAGAGGAGTATCGTTTCCATAACGTGTTCCATGTATCGTTGTTACGGCCTTATCGATCTGATGGCACTGTACAACCTCCTCGACCTACAGTCGGAATTGAATCTGAAGGTCCTACCTCTGTATGGACACCTGAACGCATCCTAGATCATGATCAATGAAAGCTCCGAAACCGAACCCTGACACGGTATCTCGTGAAATGGGTTGGTCATGGACATGAGATTAACAGTTGGATTGAAGAACCTGCTTTCCCCGACAGATCTCTTATTGATGCCTATTGGACTGTGCGCCGTGTGGACGCAGGCGTCTAGAAAGGGGGGCAGATGTTGTAGCGCCTTATAGTGTTACAGAGCCAAATCGCAAAGCGATGAAGGCGTGATTTGATTAAGACTGATCTATGAACAGTCTATGAATACTTTAAGATAGATAGGTGTTTCCTAATTAAGGATTGGCACTCTATCAGGGTCCCTACCCTAATCGAACAGACACCTCGGTCTAACCAGCTGTCAGGTGGTCCGAAGGGACACTCTACGACAGAAGTCGTTGCGGCCTCCTAAGCAACGAGTATTATATATACTCGGGTGGGAGCCTGGGATGGATGATTAATATATTTATATATTAACAAAGAGACAGAGTTTAATTACTCTTTCTTTAGACAAGAGCCCAGACCTTGGCGGAGCGAATCCGTCCTGTGACTTTCGGTTCTTGCTTACACTACGCGCTAACACCTGGGGGCCTGGGGGCCTGGGAGCCTGAGGGCCTGGGAGCCTGGGGGCCTTGGAGCCTCGGGGCCTGGGAGCCTGGGAGCTTGGGAGCTTGGGAGCCTGGGAGCCTGGGGGCCTGGGAGCCTGTGGGCCTAGGAGCCTGGCGGCCTCGGAGCTTGGGGGCATGAGGCTGGTACCTGGGAGCCTGGGGGCCTGGGGGCCTGGGTGCCTGGGGGCCTGGGAGCTTGGGGGCCTGGGGGCCTGGGAGCCTGGGGGCCTGAGGTCTGGGAGCCTGGGGGCCTGGGAGCCTGGGGGCCTGGGAGCCTGGGGGACCTGGGAGCTTGGGGGCCTGGGGGCCTGGGAGCCTGGGAGCTTGGGAGCTTGGGAGCTTGGGGGCCTGGGAGCCTGGGGGCCTGGGAGCCTGGGGGCCTGGGAGCCTGGGGGCCTGGGAGCTTGGGAGCCTCGGAGCCTGGGAGTTTGGGAGCTTGGGAGCCTGGGGGCCTGGGAGTCTGGGAGCCTGGAAGCCTGGGAGCCTGGGAGCTTGGGAGCCTGGGAGCCTGGGGGCCTGGGAGCCTGGGAGCCTGGGAGCCTGGGGGCCTGGGAGCCTGGGAGCCTGGAAGCCTGGGAGCCTTGGGACCTAGGAGCTTGGGGGCCTGGGAGTCTGGGAGCCTGTGGACCTGGGAGCTAAGAGCCTGGGGGCCAGGGAGCTTGGGAGCTTGGGAGCTTGGGAGCTTGGGAGCCTGGGAGCCTGGAAGCCTGGGAGCCTGGGGACCTGGGAGCTTGGGGGCCTGGGGGCCTGGGAGCCTGGGAGCTTGGGAGCTTGGGAGCTTGGGGGCCTGGGAGCCTGGGGGCCTGGGAGCCTGGGGGCCTGGGAGCCTGGGGGCCTGGGAGCTTGGGAGCCTCGGAGCCTGGGAGTTTGGGAGCTTGGGAGCCTGGGGGCCTGGGAGTCTGGGAGCCTGGAAGCCTGGGAGCCTGGGAGCTTGGGAGCCTGGGAGCCTGGGGGCCTGGGAGCCTGGGAGCCTGGGAGCCTGGGGGCCTGGGAGCCTGGGAGCCTGGAAGCCTGGGAGCCTTGGGACCTAGGAGCTTGGGGGCCTGGGAGTCTGGGAGCCTGTGGACCTGGGAGCTGGGAGCCTGGAAGCCTGGGAGCCTGGGGACCTGGGAGCTTGGGGGCCTGGGGGCCTGGGAGCCTGAGGGCCTGGGAGCCTGGGGCCCTGGGAGCTTGGCAGCCTGGGGGCCTGGGAGCCTGGGAGCTTGGGAGCTTGGGAGCTTGGGAGCTTGGGGGCCTGGGAGCCTGGGGGCCTGGGAGCCTTGGGGCCTGGGAGCTTGGGAGCCTGGGGATGACACAAACCATGAAATGGTGTTATTGAAAGATACCGGTTGAGACAAGTGGATTGAATAAATAATTGTTGTAGAATCAAACAGGTATTGGTTAGTAACAACAGTGTTAAAACTAGGCAGACCGGCATCTGACAGTTAGGCAACAGAGCCTAGAGCTTAACAGTAAGCATACAGGATACAACACCTGGAACCCCAACCCTCCCCTCCATCTCAACTCCCTGAGTGAGCCCCATTCCCCCTCCCTGTCGCCACCCTCCTAAATCAAAACTTCAACTTCAGCCTCATTGTCCGAGGTTGGTTGCACTTGCTGCACATGCATGAGAGCATGAGAAAAATGCAGGCACTGCAAAGACCGAAAAGGGCAGCCCCATCCAGTGCTTATACTTCGCCATTTGCACTCCTGGTTGCTTCCCATCTGATGGGTACTCCTCTGGCAAGACAGTCAGACGTGTATGGTCCCAGCCGAGCGATGATGAGCGATATATTCACAACCGGATTCAATCCGGGGAATTCCCACCTTCTAGGATTTCGCACCAATCTAACACCAGGCAAAGAGTACTCAGGGAAATGCCAGGAGAGCTGAACCCTTCTTACATATTCCGCGGTTCTGAAATCCACCGCCAGGAAATCTCCCCAGCAGACCGGCCACAGACCAGGGTTCTTCACCAGGGTACCCAAAAATTTCGGTCGTGTCCGAAAGCCTCTGAGTAACCTATCGGGGGTCTCCCAAAATGTTTTCCTGTCAGCCTGAGTTTTGGGGCGGGGCCCCAGCGTGAAGCGCCCAGGGGGCCCCCGACCTGTAAGGTTGCCCATGTCTGTGTGTGTCTGGCCGTGTGGCCGTGTGTGTGTAACGGACCAAACATAATATCTCGGCCGGCTGAAACGCGTTATTGGTACTATATAGCATTCTCTATCGCAACTTATCTCGCCTGTAGCCAACAAAAATCGTATGAGCACAAATGAGCACAAATAACTTTGGCTGCCTCATGAGGCAATTGATCAATTGACCGAGGCCAAAGTCACATCAACGCCTCTCGGGCTAAATTTAATCTCAAAAGGTACCGCGTATCACATATTTGAATTCTTAGATGACGGCGTATGATAACTCGAACTCCCAGGCCTTGAGTGTGTAACGGACCAAACATAATATTTGATCCGGCTGAAACGCGTTATCGGTACTATATAGCATTCTCTATTGCAAGGTATCTCGTATGTAGCCAACAAAGATCGTATGAGCACAAACAACTTTGGCTGCCTCCATTGACCGAGCTCATAGTCACATCAACGCCTCTCGGGCTAAATTTCATCTCAAAAGGTGCCATGTATCTCATAATAAAATTCTGAGATGACAGCGTATGATAACTTGAACACCCAGCTTGTGTTACCATTTGCCCGCCAGGCATTCCGACTTGCCACCAGCAGGCCGACAAATTTGCTTACATTTCATTTCTCTATGAAATACGCAAGCTGCTCGTTTGTACATTTACTTTAGCCAATGCTCGGGGCCTACGGTGTGCCGCGATGAAGCTTGCGGCTGTGGGGCGGATTGCTGAGGCCGCTGGCGCTTCGGGGATAAACATCACAGACAGCACCGAACTTCACCCAGCTTGTGTTACCATTTGCCCGCACGGGCATTCCGACTTGCGGTCTGCCGCACTGTCCATACGGCATGCACCCGGGATGGATTCCGCCGGTGCAAGCTTAGCTCCCACACCATCAGCACTGCTGCAACAAAGCACATCTCCCACCGCGTTGACACTACCCATCAATTGTCACACGTGCCGCGTTGGCTACCGGCCTGTACGGATGGAGGGGGGGCCCGCCCTTTTTCTGGCTTCAAGGAAGCCGACACCCAACTTGTTTCGGGCACCCTGAAACTGTCTGAAGCGGTTTTCGGGGTAAAGTTTAACTAGATTCTATCTTAATATCCTAGGATGGCTGACTTAACAGGTATTTAACTTTATTTTGGAACATGGCGCCTGGGAATCGTTCAGGAAAAAGGAATTACCCAAAACCCTAAGCGTGGAAACAAGTGGACCCATTGACGCATTCCAGCCCAGGCCCGCTCCCAGGCCATCTTAGACTTCATAACTGAAAACTCTTTCTGCAAACCGTCAAGTTCGTTGACATCGATGGCAAATAGGCGGTTAGGGCTTGCCGAGTGGCAAAAGTGCACTAGCAACTTCACGAAACTCCTTACGTGCAGTGTATAACAACGATTGCTGGTTAGTTTACTTGCTACTTTCATAGTAACGATGCAAGACTGTCGGTCGGCAAAACGTTTGAAGTTTGCATCGACCTTTTCGAAACTTACAGCCAGTGTTCACTGAATTATGTTCAGCAGCTTTGCCGTTAGCAGCAGGAGTAGAAGCGTGTTTATTTATGGGTATGCTTAGATGTATGAAAATGTGGCATATGGATGTGCTTAGATGTATGAAAATGTGGCATATGGACATCCTTAGATGTATAAAAATGTGTGTGGTACAGCCGCAATGCCCATTTGTACTTAGGGTTTGACTGGTGCAGGGATCTAGCCGATACCGAAACGTGCGGAGAGACCTGCGGAAATAGGCTTCTTCCCACTTTCCGCAGAGGGCCTAAAATGAAGGAAATGCGGAAAAAGAAATCGCTTGCAGTACTGCGGAAAGTCAAAAACATATTCCACGCCTGTGCGTTTACTTCACAAGTGACAATACTTTAGTGTAAAAGTCTACAATCACTGCGCCCGACCTCGGGGCTAACGACATTCTAGAGTTCGACTGTGTTCCAGCTCAAAGAAGGTGGAAGGCCTGCTACCGACGTTTGGAAACATGTTGATAGAAAACATTATGACAAGAGCAAGAACTGCTCTGCTACCTGCAAACAACATCGGAAGGACCCGATCCGAGCGTACCAATCCAATCCGTCAAAATCAAGCACTATGGGGGAGGCCTATGATAAGTATGCTCTGGCCTGGGGGATTGGGGGTCAAAGAGAGGCGGAATGCTTGCAGATCCCACGAGACTGAACCGCATTGCCAAGAGCGCGATTGAGATTGTCCATATTATCGCAACACTGCAAAGAGCTAAAAATAGCTTTATATAGATACGTTATAGTTTTCGCAAGTTTCCGCAGTTTCCGCAGCGTTTCCGCAAAAGGGTTCCCAAGTACGAAAAGTTTCCGCAAACCTGGTCAAGTTTCAGCTAGATCCCTGGACTGGTGACCAAGCGGGCCTTATACTGCAGCCCTTTCCGCCCCCGAAAATATACAAATTTACGCTTAAATATCGTTCAGTTTTCTCCGAAAATGCCTTCGGGAGGCTTCAGTGGGGCCCCCAAGAAATGCTTCAAAAGACCCAAAATCCGTTCGGGATGCTCTGGGGCGGACTAATTTTCCTTTCGGGCAAAATGGAAAGATCTCAAAAATGTTCGGGCCCGAATCGGGGTGAAGAACCTTGTCACAGACCGTTCCTCGTCATTTCCGCATTTGGTACACCCTGCTTGCCGACCAGGCACCTGGAGTCACAGGTCCTGATAATGCTGCTATTGCTGCTAGCGGGGGTCGCTAGTAGGCATCTGCAGCTTGCCTGGGCATCCCGCACGGAGGCTGATGACGCGGCGGTATTGCTGACTCTGGCAGGTCCCTCACCACCCTCCTATTTGAGCAGCTGGTCGGGTGTGGCGCCATGCAGCGGTGGGTTATGGCGGATGTAGGAATGTGGGAAGCACCGAGCCACGGCTCCAGACATGGCGACGGTGAAATGTGGCGATGCGCACGTCGGGTTAGGTAGCAGGTGGTAGCTGGTGGCTGGCAATGGAATGGGATTTGGATGTGTTGTGGTGACACTTGAGGAGAGCATAGCATGCAGCGCGGGTTAATCCTCATGGAGGTGGCTTGGATGGGGATGCGAGTGCAGACATGGATGCATGCTCCGGCTTGGAGCTCTGGCCTGGGGTGATGGCGCCTTAGCTCCGAAAACTGGTGTAAAACTCCACCGGAGCCATGGATGGGGCTGATGTCCTCTCTCAGTTGTGCTGGAGGTCGTCGTATGTTTTGGAGCAAAGCCAGTAAATGGCATAGCACACAGTAGAATGAAGCTGTACTTTTCCATGGTTTGCCTAGCTGTGTGCATCGATGCCTCACAAGCTGGCTTGGGCAGTTTGTGCACATTGTTGTGATGCTTGTCAGCCTACTAATGGCCCTGCTTGGCGTATGTATCCTCCACAGACGGCTGGGCATGCGTGACCTGTTCTGGCCAGCGTGTGACGGCAATTGACCTATTGGGCAACATCACACTGCCTGTGGGAGCACTGCCAGCCACCATCAGTAAGTTTGCTGTATGATGCTATACTGCGGTGTTGAAGGAGCGCAAAATGCCGAACATTTTACTTATAGCATTGCATGCAATTGCAAGAATGCTGGTATCGGACGCAAATTATCCCTGTCCCTCTGAGAAGACGTTTATAGGAGTCACAAAAGGATAAGCATGAACAAGGATGCAGTTAAACCCCCTTTAACCTCCAACCGGGAACCACCCTGACCGGTCAGGGGCCCTGACTGCAGGTACATGCCCTGACTCAGGGCATGCACCTGCTTGCCACGCGCTTGGCTTTATGTGTCTTTCCTTTTCCGCGCCCACACGCCCTCAACCACGCCTTCATGTTCCACAAACTGCATTTTGCCCATGTGCAGGCCAACTAGACGCACTGCAGCTGCTGCGGCTCGATGGTGCCGGGCTGGGGGGGACGCTGCCTCCGGACTTATCGGCGCTGTACAGTCTAACTTCCCTGTCCCTGTCGTACAATTCCTTCACGGGTATACTGCCGGCGTCCTGGAGCGCCCTCGCCAACCTACGGTGTGGCCGGAGGTCATGGGGGCGGGCGGGTTTAGATGCGACAATGGCATGAATTCATGTAGTCTGCAGTTGGGCGGTGAAGTGGGTGCTGGGGATAAGAGGGAATTACGTATCCAGGACGCACATCCTTTAGACAAATACCTAGCAGCACACTGAAGGCATGATGGCGCGGTCTCAGGGAGGCAATATACACGTGCACCCCTGACATATACAAGGAATGAAAAGCCCGTTTAAGCGATGATGGTATTGAGTCTATCAAGCGCACTTTTAAATATTATACTCCGGAGTTACTGGTAAAACTCATGCGGACAGCATTTCTGCGCATGGGTTTTAGGTACGGCAACATATTCGAACCTGCAGTAGGTACATGCATATTTTTTGACCATATGCCAAGAATACGTCAGGCAAGTAACATTGATGCTGTAGAAATTGGCAGGATTACCTGTAACATTCTAGTTATAAAACACTCCTGATATTCATCTAATTCATATAATGTTACAGAGTGGGATACCACTCTGAAGCCTCCAAAGGCTTCTGGGCCACATCACATTGTCAAAACTACGATTTATCACCATACAGCACCATCCATCATTACCACACTATACGCCATACGAACTGTAAGTCCAAGGCGCTGGATCCTGCCTTCTGGATCCCTCTGGAGGTATCCAAAGGACCGGATGAGGATCCTTATCCAGTCACCGGTACACCCATAGAGACAGAGGTTTCAGCAATCACCACAATCCAGCGTGCGAATTTAGGTCCATCAACCGTGACCTCAGCTTCACATCTCGAACACTAGCCACACTCTTGCTCTCCCGAAATTTTCCTGGTGGTCCCCAGTAATCAAACCTAGGACCTTAATCAGCTTCTCGCAGAAGGTCAACCGACCAGCCCAATGGCATACTCCAGGCCGGTTCCGGCCCGGTTCCGACCTAACGGGTCCAGTTAACGAGATGGGTAACCGGTCGGTAGGATTACCGGGCGAACCGTTATCCGTTAACCGTCCCCAGTAATCGGTAACCGATGTCGGTAACCTGGCATGAGCAAAAATGCATTTCTGATTGCAACCAGTTTCTTTGTGACAATGCCCATTGTCACAAGGTTCATGCCCACGTGTCACAACCCGACAAGCTTGAGGAGGTTAAGGCAATGTGAATGCCGGGTGACAGGGGTGACAGTCTTGTGCAGGCACATTTGGAGACTAGTTTACACTGAGATTGGGGTGATGTTGGATTAGAATACTTGCACTTCATGAAATTGAGGAAATGTGTTGCATAGGCATATCCAAACGTTTCAGAGGGACGTTGTTTCGCCCGTAACAAACTTGTTACGGGCGAAACAAACTGGATTTCCACAGTCCCACCACTCAAAGAGCTCCCCACACCATCGCAAAGTCCCTTTTTTATTACAGACACATGTAACAAGTTGTCATAGCTTGAGATTGTCGATATATGACTGCTGGATTGTGACGAGGCCATCTCCTTACATGTCTTGCTGCACCAGCATGAGCAGTGATCCCTTCTGTTCAAAATTTCAGGCAACATCGCAATGAGGCAAAACATTGTGCCGAATCTGCCGTACAAAGAGTGTTCAAAGCTTCACGCTACTAACGGACGAATACATAAGCATTCATTTACCTTAAAAGAATAAAGGAATTCTATAGCTTCATACAAATTCGCCTATCAGCAATTCTCCCTGGTCGTTCAAAAGTTGCTTGAAGATTCTACCATCTCCATACTATGAAGGAGCGCTTCTTCATTTCTTCATTTTATCTGAACCTTAACGTATCCTTCCAACACAATGTCCATGGACAACGGTAATGAGGTCGGCGCCTACGAGTTTGACCGGAACGCCCTGGACAACATCGCCCGTCGGCGACAAGATCGCCCACGCAAGAAATACAGCCAGCATCGTCCAGTGGATGAGTTTGGAGTACTTAAGTTTGCCAGGGCAAACAATCTAAGTCAATTTACCGCGTGCCAATTGGAGGATGCCTTGTCCAAGGAAAGGTGCCATATGGACGACCTTGTCAACCTATTGCGCCAATCTAGTGACATGGACGCAAAGCAGTTGCTTGGGGACATCGGCCGAAATGCCGGGACAATGACTTATTAGGGACAATGACACGGCATTTCACGCCCTCAAAGCGGGAACAAACGCTAAAACTAAATACATACATAGTTCTAAATCTTCTACTAAAATTTTCCTGCAGCGTTAGAGGCCTTTAATTAATATTGGCGAACGATGCTTCCCGAGCTACCGGGATACTCCCTATGGCATAAACATGCCGGTTACCGACCGTTTGGGGCCCATTAACCCAACCG